CATTTATTATGGTATCTTATCTATATACTATGGTACCAATGTGATATACACTATAACACTATGTATGACACTCTATTATCAGGGCGACTGTCTTTCCTCTGACAGAATTTGTTCATTTTTTGTTGTTTGCACATGGCATGTTAAGCCTATAGTTCCCTTCTGGGAGTATGGCTTGGCTATGGTATTGCACACTAATTCTCCCTTTTTTGACTCGGTGTATACTATTTTTTACTAGATTAGTTCCAAGCGCTGGAGGGGTGTACGTGGTCCCTCGATAGTCGTCCTTTTCAGAAATTGTCGTGTTATTTTCGTCCAAACATTGGCTTGCAAATGGTCGGTTTTACTCACTAATCGTCATTCATCCTGGCGCGTACTCATGGCTCTGAGCCGCCTCAGCCTCCCTTCACAGCCAGTGTGCCATTCATTGTTTACCAGTGAGCAACAGTCCCCCCACTTGGTCATTACGAAATACAGTGGACCCCCGCATAAAGCTCACCTCAATGCGACCAATTATGTAAGTGTATTTATGTAAGTGCGTTTGTACGTGTATGTTTGGGGGTCTGAAATGGACTAATCTACTTCACAATATTCCTTATGGAACAAATTCGGTCAGTACTGGCACCTGAAAAATATTCTGGAGTGAAAAAAAAATCGTTAACGGGGTCCACTGTATTTTTATAATATTCTATTCATTTTAGTGCTTGCAAGTGCTAAATAAGCTACTATGGCTCCAAAGAAAACTCCTAGTGCCAAGCCTTTGGTAAAGAAGGTGAGAAATACAATTGAATTTAAGAAAAAAAATCATTGAAAAAATATGAAAGTGGCGTACATGTGGCCGAACTGGCCAGGATGTTAACAAACCCCATACAAACCCTATCTTTTCCCTCGTGGCAAAGAGAAAGGAAATCAAGGAAGCGTTGTTGCTTGGAGAAAATTGTGGCCAGATTGTGTCCACAAGAGGAATTTTTTAAGGGTTTGTGGCTGACCTGATGAGCCTATGTCAGTTGTGAAATCTATTGTGGCATTGGGGGGTTCCATGGGGTTTTAGATGTGAGTTTGGAGGATGTGGAAGAGTTTGGGGGAGGACCACAACGAAGAGCTAGCCACTGAGGAGCTGCAAGCTTCAGCAGGAACAGCAACAGACGCAGCTCAGAATCTTCCTGCAGAGGAGGGGAAGAGAGATGGAAGAAGGTGCCTTTTTCAGAAAATTTAAAGGAGATTTTTGAAATGTGGGGTAGGATGGAAGATTTATGGAGAACCATCACATCACTCTGAGAAAGATGTTGCAAGCCATATCAGCAACTTGTACAGTGACAGAGTCTTGGCCCATTTTAGGAAGTTTTTTAAAAAGACGTCAGAAACAGAGCTCTCTGGGACACTTTTTTGCGAGACAGGGGCTCCAGTGACTCTCAAGCTGGTCCTAGTGGCATTAAGAAACAGAGAAGTATGTAACCCAGAAAAGGACTTGGTACCTGAGGTGTTGATGGAAGGGGATTCCCCTTCCAAACAGTAACTAATCCAATCTCTCTCCTCCTCCAGTCTTCCATACATTAAGAAGAATTGCCAATTAAGGTAAGTGTTTATGCTGTTAATGTTTCATTCATCATATCCCATTGTATTGTTTATGTACTATATCTATACATGTATTTCATGTAAAAAAAAATTTTTGTTTAATACATTATTTCTTATGGGGAAAATTGATTCGAAAATCGTCTATTTCGATAATCGTTGCACTTCCAGGAACGGATTAACGACGATAAACGAGGGACCACTGTACTTTATAAGTTCACTGGCACAGCTTAAAGTTCTAGCACACAAGAGAGATCATGATAATCATGAAAAAACACAGAGCGCAGCAGAGCACACACACAGGATCTACGTAACAAAAGGTTGGTTGTTCCCTTTCCACCCAGATATCATAGCACTCCCAGAGACAAAGCTCAGAGAGATGCACTAGAAGACAAAAAAAATGCAGATGTAATATATACAGACTTTGCAAAAGCCTTCGACAAGTGTGACCATGGCGTAATAGCGCACAAAATGCGTGCTAATGGAATAACATGAAAAGTCGGTCGATGTATCTATAATTTCCTCACTAACAGAACACAGAGAGTAGTCGTCAACAGAGTAAAGTCTGAGGCAGCTACAGTGAAAAGCTCTGTTCCACAAGGCACAGTACTCGCTCCCATCTTATTCCTCATCCTCATATCCGACATAGACAAGGATGTCAGCCACAGCACCGTGTCTTCCTTTGCAGATGACACCCGAATCTGCATGACAGTGTCTTCCATTGCAGACACTGCAAGGCTCCAGGCGGACATCAACCAAATCTTTCAGTGGGCTGCAGAAAACAATATGAAGTTCAACGATGAGAAATTTCAATTACTCAAATATGGTAAACATGAGGAAATTAAATCTTCAACAGAGCACAAAACAAATTCTGGCCACAAAATAGAGCGAAACACCAACGTCAAAGACCTGGGAGTGATCATGTCGGAGGATCTCACCTTCAAGGACCATAACATTGTATCAATCGCATCTGCTAGAAAAATGACAGGATGGATAATGAGAACCTTCAAAACTAGGGAGGCCAAGCCCATGATGACACTCTTCAGGTCACTTGTTCTATCTAGGCTGGAATATTGCTGCACACTAACAGCACCTTTCAAGGCAGGTGAAATTGCTGACCTAGAAAATGTACAGAGAACCTTCATGGCGTGCATAACGGAGATAAAACACCTCAATTACTGGGAGCGCTTGAGGTTCCTGAACCTGTATTCCCTGGAACGCAGGCGGGAGAGATACATGATTATATACACCTGGAAAATCCTAGAGGGACTAGTACCGAACTTGCACACGAAAATCACTCACTACGAAAGCAAAAGACTTGGCAGACGATGCAACATCCCCCCAATGAAAAGCAGGGGTGTCACTAGCACGTTAAAAGACCATACAGTAAGTGTCAGGGGCCCGAGACTGTTCAAATGCCTCCCAGCATACATAAGTGGGATTACCAACAGACCCCTGGCAGTCTTCAAGCTGGCACTGGACAAGCACCTAAAGTCGGTTCCTGACCAGCCGGGCTGTGGCTCGTACGTTGGTTTGCGTGCAGCCAGCAGTAACAGCCTGGTTGATCAGGCTCTGATCCACCAGGAGGCCTGGTCACAGACCGGGCCGCGGGGGCGTTGACCCCCGGAACTCTCTCCAGATACATAAGGTTGTGTAGGAGACTAAGAGATGGCAGAGAGAGATGGCCAGATACAGAAGCTTCTTCAGTCGGATACAGAGGTGACTAATATTTAGAGACAGCTCAGAAACTAGTGATGCACATGTATCTTATTCATAAAGTTTTTCGGTGTTATATACCTTTATTATTATGAACTATATGAGGTTTAAGCATTTTCAGGGCCATCTTAACCCCATCTCTGAAAACCACTGAGGATGCATGAGACTGGAAGGCTGCTGTAACCTTTCTCAGGATCTCAGGAAACAGGACAAACAACAAACTTTATTTCTTTGTGCAATATACAAGATGTAGTTACATGTAATAAAATATTGTTAAGCACAAAAGAAGACACCAGCATCCTGTTCATTTCGGGCAGACTAATCTTAATTCTTACAGACTACTTGAGACTGGACATAGGTTGTTGAGTGGTACAATTTTAAGTATACGTTATTACAAAAAAGAGGTAGAAAAAATAGTACAGTTTTAAGTATGCATTAATACTTTAAAATGATTTAGTAATCTTAAGGTAACTGGGATTTCTTAAGTAGTTTCAAACTGGCTCCATGGTTTCAGTCTAGGGAACAATTATAAGAGACGGTGACGAAACAGGAAGTAGTTTGATGACTTGGTTTTGTTTGGTACAGCATAGTGTTAGTGTAGTTAAGCTAGGGAGATGAGGTGATTTTGAACTATAACTCTAAAATGATTGACAGACTGGGGACCTTTCGTTGGTTCGGGCAATGAATTTCAAATCTTTGGGCCTTTGATGTGTGTGCATTTTTGCACAGGGTGAAGCAGACACGGGGAGTGTCGGAGAGTTTCTTGTCTTGAGTTGTACCTGTGTTTCCTGACGTGAGGGTCATATGATGACCCGCAACTAGTGCTTTTGGTAATCTCCCCTCAAGGAAGGTTCCTTGATGTTGGTGAGGGGCTCTTGATTTAGGGAATTGGATCTGTGCCCCAGTTCCCCGAATTAAACCTGAATGCCTTCCACATCCCCCCCCCAGGCGCTGTATAATCCTCCGGGTTTAGCGCTTCCTCCTTGATTATAGTAGTAGTTTTAGTAATCTGACCGAGGCATTTCCCTGGCTTACCGGTCCACCCCTTTAAAAATTATATATATAATGGCTCTGGTGGTTAACGCTCTAGCTTCACACGGCGAGGGTCTGGGTTCGATTCCCAGCCAGAGTAAAAACACTGGACGTGTTTCTTTCCACCTGTTGTCTATGTTCCCCATCAGTAAAATGGATACCTGGGTGTTAGTCGACTGGTGTGGGTCGCATCCTGGGACACAGACCTAATTTGCCCGACATGCGGAGATAAGATAAGATAAGATTTCGTTCGAATTTTTAACCCCGGAGGGTTAGCCACCCAGGATAACCCAAGAAAGTCAGTGCGTCATCCAGGACTGTCTAACTTATTTCCATTGGGGTCCTTAATCTTGTCCCCCAGGATGCGACCCACACCAGTCGACTAACACCCAGGTACCTATTTGCTGCTAGGTGAACAGGACAATAGGTGTAAGGAAACGTGTCGGAATTTCCACCCGCCGGGAATCGAACCCGGGCCCTCCGTGTGTGAAGCGGGAGCTTTAGCCACCAGACCACAGGGCCACAGGGCATAACAAGCGGCTTTCTATATAGTAGTATGTCATTGTTGTCAGCTAGGACTGTATACCTTGTACATGTACTTGTAGTAAATAAAGATATTATTATATTATCCTTTCCCCCAACATTATATATGTAGTTGTTACCTCCTCAGGACCGTCGTTGCCCATCAACTCAACAACAACATTTGAACGTCGGGACGAGTTCCTCCAGGAAAAGGTCTTAATCATCATCTTGATCTTGTTCGTTACTGCTGATATTACTCCTCGGTAGTGAGGTTCTGCGTGTGGTGTCACGGGTTGCTTCTCGCACATGTTGCATGTGAATCACCTTTGACAACTACGTACACATACTGCACTGAGAATTTTTCTCTTTCTGGGAGGTGTCTTGATGGTGTTCAGGGACTCTTGACCAAAGGAATTGGATCTGTTCTACCCTTCCTTGAATCAAGCCTGAATGCCGTACATTTACATATGGGTTTAGCGCTCTCATGAATATGTTAATAGTAATTTCTAGGCCTCTAATCCCTTAAGGTGTTTTGTCGCTGGTGAAGGGCTCTTGATCCAATGAATTGGGCTTATCCTCCCCCGCTGATTCATATTAATTGCTTATCAGTCCCAGCGCTGTGACCCCAACAAGTTTAGTGCTTCCCCATTATATAAATATTACAAAATACAGTATAACCCCTATGGGTTTAGTGTATTGTTTTATATAATAAATTTACACTCATGGGAAGTGGCAAACCTATATGGGTCATACACTGCCCGAAGGATGGGAGGTAATCAGATTCGATACTTGAAAGAGAGGGTAGCTCCGATTCCTTGGATGAAAAATGTGGAAAATAAGTAGTCAGTGTTTGGTAGGGATGTTCTAGGTTATATCATTATAACATATCTTCTTTTTGTCAATAATAACTTAAGAAGGGGAAAAATGAAGGGCTCTTGATCCAAAGATTTACAGCAGCCCTCCCATTCCTTGGATAATACCTAATTAAATTCAAGTCCCCAATTGTTATAGATTTATCACTTTCACATGAATTTACTAATAATACTAATAATGAACTAAATAAAAAGAATTAAATACAGCCATTCGTGTATACCTGGAGGGTGTTTCAGGGGTCAACGCCCCCATGGCCCGATCTTTGACCAGGCCTCATGGTGGATCAGGGCCTGATCAACCTGTCTGTTACTGTTGGCCACACATAAACTGACATATGAGCCACAGCACGGCTGGTCAGGTATTGACTTTAGGTGCCTGTCTAGCTCCTCCTTGAAGACAGCCAGGGGTCTTGATAATCCCCCTTACGTATGCTGGGATGCAGTTGAACAGTTTTGGGCCCTTGGCACTTATTGTGTCAGGGCGTACTCGTGGCGCTCCTGCTTTTCACTGGGGGGATGTTGCATCTCTTAAAGAGCCTTTTGCTTTCACAGGGATTGATTTTCATGTGCAGATTTGGGACTAGTCCCTCTAGGATTTTCCAAGTGTATATTATCATGTATTTTTCTCACTTGCATTCCAGGGAGTACAACTCCAGGGACTTCAACCATTTCCAGTAATTTAGGTGCTTTATCATACTTGTACGTATACCTGGAGTATACCTGGAGAGGGTTTCGGGGGTCAGCATCCCCGCGACGCACTCTGAGACCAGGCTTCGTGGTGGATCAGGGTCTGATCAACCAGGCTGTTACTGCTGGCTGCATGCAAACTGACATACGAACCACAGCCCGGCTAGTCAGGTACTGACTTTAGGTGCCTGTCCAGTGCCTTCTTGAAGACAGCCAGGGGTCTGTTGGTAATCCCTTTTATGTATGCTGGGAGGCAGTTGAACAGTCTTGGGCCCCTGACACTTATTGTGTTGTCTCTCAGTGTACTCGTGGCACCCCTGCTTTTCATTGGGGGACTGTTGCATCTCCTGCCGAGTCTTTTGCTTTCTAGGATATTCTAAGTGTATATTATTATGTATCTCGCCTACATTCCAGGGAATACAAATCAAGGGACTTCAACCGTTCCCATTAATTTAGGTGCCTTATCGTACTTATGTGTGCCGTGAAAGTTCTTTGTACACTCTCTAGGTCAGCAGTTTCGCCTACCTCGGTTGCTTTATGACCCTTAGGGGTTTAATGCTCTCCTGTGAATGTAACAGTAACACAGAAAAGTAACAGTTTTATAAATTAAAATATGTATGCATTTGCCTTACAAATACAGTATGTAATTTTTTCAGAGTTAGCAAATCTGGATGGTGTGGATGAACTTAGCATCATGATATCATGTGGGGATGCCCAGGAGTATGTCCCATTCGGGCGAGAATATTTGTGTTATCACCCAGGGGACGTCGGCTTGCCTCCGCCCAGACCAAGCCCAGCACCACCTCATCTGGATCTCATGAGACAGCTAGATACAGTCTCCATTAATGGTTCCAAGGTATTCTGGTTCTATTTTTAATTACTTCTGCATTACTGTGCTTTACGCAGTAATTATTCCAAGGAAATTTAGTTTATCACTCTGTGAACACTGCTTTTTTATAAATTTCAGTAAATCATTTTGTTATACTTTAAAGTTTGTTGAGTGTTGTCGAATACAGAATATATAATTGTAAAAAAAAAAAAAATTATTTTACCACATTGGGGCGCTCCCACCTTGGTAGGGTAACTCAAAGAAGGAAATGCATTCATCAACACTCACTCGTTTGGCGTCTTGCCAGAAGTTCATGGACATCACACTTTAAATAACTCTCTGAACTGCAGCATCATGATCCATTTACATTGATAACCCTGTAACATTTATTCACTGAAATAATACGTATGTTTTTGGTATGTTGTGGATTAGCCCTTTCTAAGACCGTTTTTTTTACTCCTATGACTTTTGCAGTACCTTTCATAGCTTTTTATGAATTTTTGAAAGTGAATTAGTCATTATTTTTTACTTACGAGTGATTACAAATGATTGGAAAGTACCCTCTCCCAAATCAAGATCTACACTGCTTCATATCTCAGCTCCTTATTTCCCTGGGAAATGAGTTGGGGCTCTATGAGCAGTAACTTGAGGATGATGAAGAGTTCCTATTTTGAGAGGGTAAAGGCAAACACTGTTAAATAAGAGGAGAAAATGTGTATGGAAAAATGTCAGGGCCCTTGACCCAAGGAATTAAAGTTACTCTCCTTTTCCACAGATCAAACTTGATTATTTTCCATTCTCCAGGCACTGTATGACCCCTATGAGTTTAGCACTTCTCTCTTAATATACAACCTCACTCAGTGACGTGCTCGTTTACTGACGCCTCAGACTTAAGTCTCTGACCAGTAATCATACCTAAATAATGTATATTAGAGCTGATTTCCTCTGTTCTGTTTATTTCACTATACAGTACACTACTGTATAAACATGTAAAAATATACCAGAAATGTTATAAATAATGCAGAGGTGACATTAAAACAACATCAGAGATGGTGGACACAAACTCACTACCATTATAGTATGCTCTTCACTTAGCAACAAATTCGTTTAACAATGTGGTCTTAGGAACGAAACTCCATCGTTAAGTGAGCAGAGGCTGTATTAATAATAGTTTTCATGCAGTACTCTAGACCCTTAAGTTGTGGCAGACTGTGAAAAAATAATATTGTGTGCAAGGCAAAATTTAAAAAAAAAAAAATTCTGATAGATTCAGGGTACCATATTTTCTGGCATATATGGTGCACAAACATATAAGACATATAAGACGATGTTTGCAAGCGCTTGTAATGTAACATTAGTAAACAACTGCTAAAGAGTAACCCAAATCCTACCCTTGACCTGACCTTGAGCATATAAGGAGCAGGCTGATTTTCCAAGACTTTTTGTGTGAAAAAAGTGCTACTTACATGCTGGAAAATACAGTACATGTTTCTAATTACAGTAGAATAAAAAATGAAATCAGATGAAAAATGATCCATTGTTGATAACATTGGTGATTTTTTAAAGCAAATTTTATTTTTTTCCAGTGTTGTTTTTTTCAGTATTGAACACTATATAATGTACAACATTTTATTAAGGTAATAGAGTAGATCTTCAAGTTGTATTAGTATTGAAAACAGGCAGAAAAACTCATCATACCATATTCATAATTTCAATATACACTTCAAATTTATTGAAATACTATATGTGTTTTCTTATTTCTTAGGACTTCTTGCCTTCCATCACTGTGTAGAGGAAATTATTCCATTATAATTATTTCAAGATGTTATGCAGCAATTCCAAAAAATGCAGTTGCAACAGCAGCACAGTTGCAGCACCATCAATTTCATTATAACTTACATTAGTAGAATTTCCAGATGTTGATCCACAGTACAATGAACTGCATACAAGACAGAGTGTCTTAATCATGCCCTGCACTGATGCAAGTGGTCTGCATTTTTTCATAGATGTTATGAGATACCTGGCAACGCAGACAACTGAGCTGATTCATCAAATGGTGTCGCTTGTCAAATATGAAGGAAAACAAAATTACGACATGAAGCATATGTCACAGTCTAGTCTCCTGATGTACAGTGTATGTCACATACAGTATAAAGGTTAACACTGTCCCTTATATGAACTAAATTATGTTTTTGTTTTAACTGGCACATACACTTGCTGCCTCACTGTAGACTGAGACCCACAAAGAATCAGTGAATGATCAGGGTAACTCACTGGTCAGTATATATTATATAACTTTCATTATCTTTAGATGATCTTATATGCAATGCCTGATTTTCTTTCAGGATTGGTGGGAGTTACGTCATAGCTCTGATGGTTTGACAGAAGAAGAATTATACGTGTGCGGTCCAACAGTGGTATGGTCACGAGGACAAGCTGGCAGTGCAGGTTCACGTCAAGTTATCAAATGTATGACCTGTGACTCTACAGTTCAACATGTAATGTTTGCCACCTTTTATACATATCCTGACCAACCACCACTGCTAGGAGAAGCTGTCCCAGAAGAACCCACAGGTTAGCATGTGTTGATTAATTTAGGGTACATACACAAGTCTTATTTTTATGACAGCATTTTATATACATTTATAAAATACTTAAATGTGAAGGTATTTTAAGCGTTATATAATTTCTGTTTCAGGAGATTGTCTCCCTAGCATCTGTGTAGCGGAGAGTGATAGCCTGAATATATTTACTGAAGATGGAGATGACTGTTCTGTTGCCTTGCCCTTTCCTGTAAGTTGTTGATTTCTTATCAGTAATCCATGATCAGTAGTGTCAAATGCAGCAGAGAGGTCCAATAAAATTAACAGCAATGCATTTCTTACACAAGCATTCAGTATCAGATCATTATAAACCTTTCATAAAGCTGTCTCAGTTAAATGAAATGGTCTATACCCAGATTAAGCACATGGTAAAACATTACTCTGTCCCCGAAAAAGAAACGATTGATCAGTCAGTTTAGAAATTAGTGTAAGATTTGAAACAGGACTAGTTTAACATGTTTCCTGAATCAAGGGAAGGTTTCTGGAGGAGGGTAAAAACCAAGGCCGCCTTGTAGACTGTAGAAACAGTCATTGTCAAGTATTAACCCGTAAACTGCCCAAACGTAGATCAACGTTTGTTTGCATAGCACTCCGAACGTAGATCTACATTTTTTTTTACATAAGAAAGCATGCAAAATCGAATGTAGATCTACGCTTGGAGTGCTACGCGAGTGAATGTAGTTCTATGTTTGGACAGTTTAAGGGTTAAACTGAAAGTCCCTGGTGGGCAAATAATTTCTTGGTAAAGATACCCAGGTGCTTCACATGAGCTGTAGTCATCAATTTATTATATACCATTGATCTAAACATTCAGTACAGTGGACCCCGCATTACGATATTAGTCCATTCCTGAGAGCTCATTGTAAGCTGAATTAATTTTCCCCATAAGAAATAATGGAAATCAAATTAATCCGTTCCGGACACCCCAAAGTATGAAAAAAAAAATTTTTTTACCACATGAAATATTAATTTTAATACACACAAACTGAAGAAGACATGCACAATTACTACTCTACTAAGAATAGAATACATGACACTTACCTTTATTGAAGATCTGGTGATGATTGATGGGATGGGAGGAGGGGAGAGTGTTTAAGTTATTGTTTAGAAGGAGAATCCCCTTCCATTAGGACTTGAGGTAGCAAGTCCTTTTCTGGGGTTACTTCCCTTCTTCTTTTAATGCCACTAGGACCAGCTTGAGAGTCACTGGACCTCTGTCGCACAACAGATCTGTCCATAGAGCTCTGTACTTCCCGTTCCTTTAAGACTCCTAAAATGGGCCATAACATTGTCATTGTACAGGTTGCCAACACGGCTTGCAGTAGCTGTGTCAGGGTGATTTTCATCCATAAAGGTTTGCAGTTCAACCCACTTTGCACACATTTCCTTAATCTCTTTTTTCAATTCCATACTAATTCTCGCCCTTTTTACCACAGGGATGGCATTAGAAGCTTTCTTGGGGTCCATGGTGACTTATTTTGCAGTTACAAGCACTACATTTTGCAGTTAGAAGTGAAATGTACTGAATGTGTGCGTGGATGCGACCGCACTGGCTGGCTTGTAAACACTGGCACTGAGGCTACACATGGATCGTCCCAGAGAATCAGTAAGGCCCCCGTTTTTATCGGGCGAGCAAAATT